AGGAAATGGAGCAAGGTCCACCTAAAAGCTCAGTACTTTTCACCATGGTGCCCACCCTGGTCACATGTGAAAACTTGCTGTCCTCAGCATTGTGCATTTAGAAAGTGTTAATGTAACTAAACGTTGAAGAGACACTGTTATTAGAGGAAGTAAAAATCAGAGAAAATCAACATTTTCATATCTGTGGCTCCTCTACAAACCTTTCCTACAGAAAGCACACAAGAGGACAATGAGCTAGCCCAAGAATGCTCACTAGAGTTGTTCATGAAAAGATGGAAAACAACCCAGATTCACAGGAAGAGGAAGCTATTTAAATAACCCTTGACCTAATATATATATAATATATAATATATAATATAATATATAATAATATGTATAACATATATATTATATATATAGTAGTAGTAGTATAGTACTCAGTGGTAGTAGAGGATAGTACTCAATATAGTACTGCATAGTCAGTTAAAAAAGAACACACGCCTTTAATCCCAACACGGGCGCACAGGCAGACAGATCTCTGTGAGTTCAAGGCCAGCCTGGTCTACATAGTGAGTTCTAGGACAGCTGGGGCTACAGGGAGACCCTGTCTCAAAAGACCAAAAAAAAAAAAAAAAAAAAAGAGAAAGAAACATAAAGAGGATCTGCATGGTCATGGGAACACTTTCAAAACACATTATCAAGTTAAAGATTTTTTTAAAAAGTGGCTGGGATGATAGTTCAGTGGTATAAACCTTTGCCTAGCATGCATGGAGGCCCTGAGGGATCCTCAACACAACAAAATAAATGAGTAAATGAATGAAACTCAAGTTCAAAGTTGCATGGTATGACCCTAGTTGGTTTTTTGTGGGGTTTTTTTTTTTTTGCTTTTTTTTAACATTCCCTTTTTTTTAACATCCCCTTCTAGTTGTTATTTAAAACTACAATAAACATGTTTTTATATAAGGAATAAAATTTATTTTATGTGTATGTGTTCTGCCTGCATGTATCTAAGTGCACCCACGCATGCAATGCCCATAGAGGCCAGAAGAGGGCATCGGATCCCCTAGAGCTGGAATTACAGACAGTTGTTAGTAGCCTTGTGGATGCTGGGACTCAAACCTGGGTCCTCTGCAAAAGCATCCAGTGATCTTAACTGCTGAGCCATCTCTCCAGCCCCATAAGGAAAAATGTTGAGAAAAATAAACATATTCACAGCAGCTTTTCCAGAACATAAGAGTACAGTGTTTTTTAACTTTCAACATTATATTTCATTAACGTCCGGCTTTTTGTTTTGAATAATATGCATAATGTATATAATCAGAAACATAATCATTTTGTCAGTAATAAAATCAGATGTTATAGTTAGCATCAGCTGTCAATTTGACATAAACCTACAGCCACCTGGGAAGAGCCTCAATTGAAGAATTGCTCAGTCAAGTTAGTTGTGGTCTTGTTTATGAGGTATTTTCTTATTTGATGTAGGAGGGCCCAGCCCATTGTGGGAGGTGCCATTCCTAGGATTATATTAAGAAAGGTAGCTGAGCAAGCCAGGGGAAGCAGTCCAGGTAAACAATGTTCCTCCACCATTTCTGCTTCAAGTTCCTGCCGTAGGTTCTGCCTTGACTTCTCTCAATGATGGGCTGTAACGTGTAAGAGAAGAAAAATCCTTTCTCCCCCAAGTTGCTTTTGGCCATGGTGTTTAGCACGGCAACAGAAAGCAAACTAGAACAGAAGACAAGTTGGAGAAAAATCTTACTCATAAAGAAAAATCTTTACATCTCTCAAATATCTCTACCTCTCTTCTGGAAGACAGTACTATCTTTACTCTTAAAACTTAAACATTAAGCAGCACCTGTAGATACTAGAGAAGTTGCTTTAGTGTCTCCCTTAGCAACAGCTAACATAGAAGTGGGGCTCAAATTCCAATAATTATCAAATTCAACTGAGCAACACTAAATCGTTGCAGATAAACTGTAGGCCTCTAATTCTAAGCAAAAGTACTCACAGATTTAACAACAAAAAGCATGGATTCTTCAGACTCTAAAGCTATCTGAAGCATTTTCACAGTGGAAATAAGAGAAATCATGGAAAACCACCTCTAAATCCATAGTCCTGTCACTATCCAAGCATTTCAAAACTGGAAAGAAGAAATGTTTCTAAATACCTAGAAAGTAACTGAGGATTTACTAACATAGGAAAATTTTCTACCTTGAGGTGGGTAGGGAAGGATGTGAGGGAGACATTTGTCTCTACAGTGACAGGCAAATCATGTAGCACTCTATACCTCAGTTTCCTCACAAGGAAAATTAAAGAATAAACAATCTCAATGGTCCCTACTAGGTCTAAAATCTAAAAACAGACCTTGATTCTATCCTTGCCAAAAGGTTTTATAAAAAATTATCTATACACAAGAGCAAAATGTTATTGAATATTATAAAATGCATAGCCAAATCCAGCAGACTCTTATCTGGCTCCTCCTTACCCTGAATTACATTTTATCTCCCTCTTCCCCCACAAAAAATCCTTTAAAAGGTCCTTCAACTCACAGCCATTTCTTCTTACAATACCCCCATATTTGTAAAGCACATAGTTATTTCTACTTTTGGGTTTTGTATTTTCAGTTTTATATGTTACCAAAAGTTAACCTATTCAATTTATTTGGAATCTACTTACCTACCCTGCTCCCAGTTTTTCCCTCCTAAATTTAATAGAAAGTAGACAAATTTTATCTGACAGCTATACTATTAAGATGTTAAAGAAATATTAGTTATATACTCATATTACACATGGTCCCATACATGTAAACATAGATTTATACACACTCCTGATGTCCTGTCTCCTCAGGAGTTCTCCTGGGGAGACCTGGGGTCCGCCCAGATGGCTCAGAAGGAAAAGGCACTTGTCCAGCAAGCCTGTGACCCAAGTTCAATTCCCAGAACTCACATGAAGTTGGGATGAGAGAACTAACTCCACAAAAGTGGTCCTCTGACCTCCACACATGTACCTCTCTGTGTCTCTCTCTTTCTGTCTCTCTGTCTTTGTCTCTCTGTCTCACACACAAAAAATTATTACTAATATTAATAATTAATTTTAAGAAATAATATCTGGGCTGGGAAGACGGTTGCTGTGCAAGAATGAGGAACTGAGTTCTATCCTTAGCACCCATGTGGAAAAAAAAACAATAAAAAACCAGGCACAGCAGCTGCACACCTGTAATCCCAGTGCTACGGAGGCAGAGGCAGTAGGATGTATTCCAAGGCACTGTTGGTTCAATAAGAGACTCTGTCTCAAAAAATAAGGTGGAGGAAAGGGCTTGCCTAGCATGCATAAGGCCTTCATTTTAACCCCCAGTACTGAAAAAATAAATAAACAACACAGGATCACAGTTTGACTTCTCTGAGGAAACTCCTGTTTGTTTCTACTATTTCGCTCCACCTTACTACCTATGTTGGCACTTGTGCTTCTCGGCTTATAGCCGTTGTCTATTACTTTCCTATTACAGAAAGAACTTTGCAGAGTCTTGACCCAAACCTGGGAGGCTGAGGACAGACCTGTCCAGCAGTACACTGCAGGTGGGCCTAATTACTGGATGTCTCAATATCATTCTGAGTCTACTTCAGCAAAGCCCAGTTTCTCCTGCCTTTTGCCCCCAGGCAACTTAATCCTATTCCTAAAGCTGTAAGACAAATGACAATGAGACCCCAAACTTAATTTATACCAAAGCAGAAGTGGACACAACTGTTAGGAGGGTTTCAAGTAAGGGATTCATTAGAGCTAAAAAGAATTCTGTCTTTAATTATCTGAAAAGTTACTGAAAGCCATGCCATGTGCTGTACTAAATTGAATCTCTCCCTCGATTTCTGTCTAAAGACCTCTGAAGTTCTCCAATGGAGACATTGGCTGGGGTCCACTGGGTTTGGGCAGTTTCAGGGACATCGTCCTATCTAGTGCCAGGTGCACAAGTGAACTGCGGGTCAGGCAGGTGACCCTGACAAGCAGGCATGGTACATTAAGGAGAGGAAATCTTTTCCCTTGTTAATCAACGGGATAAAGGTGATTAAGCAGGAATTAGTTCTCAATGACCTATATAATTTCATCAGGGCTGCTATGGCTATTAGCAGAGAGCAGCTGACTTCCTAATGAGATGAATTTGATAGCAAGGTCCTCCCAGAGCAGCAGAGACCCAATGGAAGGGACGCAACAATTGGTTGGCATTGTTTCCCACCTTTCCTCCTCCTGGGGGCTGCCTCTCTCCACCTCTTTCTTTAGTGTGGGGCTCTTTCCCTCCAGAAGTTTAGCACCAGTGGAATTTTAGCACCAGTGGAATGATAACAGTTGGATGGGTAGTGAGTGGATGAGAGTAGGAGGCCGGGACAGATCTGGGCTAATGCTCCTGATCCGCTCACTTGATTCCCAAAGTCCTAAGCAAGCACAGCAACAGCCTCCACCATCACCTCTTCTAACCAGGCTTGAAATAAAACTGATACTATGACTCTCTCTCACCGGAGTGGTGCTCACAAGAGAGCTTTGTTGAAGTCCGGGAAAACACACACACAAAATCAATATAACCACGACCTGAAAGCAGTTTCATCAGAGAACTTGTGAAATTGAGCAACAGCCACCCAACAATAAAGTCTTCTCAGGAAAGCGCTGAGAGGCACCGCCTCCATCTCCGGTGCTGGCAGGGAGTTTGGAGAGGACGACGGACCCAGATCGCATCGCCTATGCCAGCTCCTCCCTGAGGATCCAGGGGCTGTGGCACCAGGGGGCGAGGAAAGGGGTGGGGAGCCTGAAGACATCCTCCTCGTCAAAACAAGCCGGCCCGCTCTCCCCAGGGTCAGTCGTGAGTAACGTCGCGCGCAGAAGCCCACGGCGTCCGGGCCGGTCGCAGGCCGCCCCGCTCTCTCTCTCTCTCCCAAACCTGCTCCTGCCGCCCAGCGGGATGCAAGGAAGGGGCAAGCAGTCGGGACACCTCTTTCACACCCTAACACAAAAGCCATCCTCCCGGCGCCGACACTCACCTGCGTGCGGCCCCGGTTCCTCCTGCCGCGCGGTGTCTGCGGACACTCAGAAAGTTGGTGCCGCGGTCCCGGGGACGCCAGGTCCGGAGCGCCGAGCCGCCGCCCGCGCAGGGCACGGACACAGGCAGAGCTGGCCACTCCCACCCGAGCACCGAACGCCCGGCGCCCGGGCAGCTGGCCTCGCCGTCCGCACGATGTCCTCCAGCCTCGGCTCCAGCTCCGCCTGAGGACCCGGGGACCGACTACCCGGCGAGAGGAGGTCGGGGCGCAACTTTTCTCCAGTGCGTCAGCGGGTGGTGGAGCCCTCGGTACGCTGGCGGGGTGGTGGCGGGGGCGGGGCCTGAGGGACGCTCCCACGGGCATGCCTGCAGGTTGGGCCCCGCCCCACAGGCCCCGCCCCAACGCCCCCAGACCCGTCCTCGAAGGCCCCGCCCTCTGCCAGGCCCCGCCCCCTCCGCCTCGCCGCTTGGCCGCCAGGTGCGCCTGAGACTCCCACCGCGCGTACTCCGGAGCGCACTGGTTTCTATGGTGAAGTAGGCGGAGCCTGGGAGAGAAAGTTTCCACCGAAACCAGAGTTGGGAAGCTGCGGGGGACGCCTCGCCCTTGGGACACGCCTCTCTCCCCGCGCGCACCGCGCACTTTCACGTGCGGCTTCTTGGGTTTTGCAAGCGGAGCAAGACCGACAGCCCCTGCGAGTCCCGGCGTCGTAGATTTCCCACCCGGAAGATTTGAGTGCGGATTCTGACGCCCCGATCCCCTTGGATTTTCCGTCTGGGACGCTCTTCTTTTTCCTGAGATTTGAACTTTAAAAATGACAGGACAGCCCGAACAGAGCTGAGTCGAATAATAAACATGTTCGCATGTTCCCCTGGCAAGCTCCCTGAAATGAAAAGGGGACCATGGTCCGAGCAAAGGAGGGAGGAGCTGCAGTTTTGTTGTTTGGGTTTTTTAAGGGTAATTTTAGCCCTAGGGGCCTTGTTTGTGGGTTGGAACCTGTGTGTCACAGGTTCACTGACAACTGTCACCGCCCCCAAAACAAAGAGGGCTGTTTAATATGGGCAGTCCTACAACAAAGATAAAGTTCCTCAACTCAGAACTCTCCAGAGAATGAGAGGAGGAGGGTGGCCGCCCTTGAGCTCTACCCGGTGCCTTGCGACCTTCCAGAGTCCAGTCCTCGACCAAAGACCTTTGCCTAAGGACAGGGAGCAGCATACCCCGCCTCCTCTCCACTTGGGTCGCCACGCCCTTGTGTGCTTGAGCTGCCCTGGTGTGCTTGGATCGAGGCTCAGCTTTCTGGACTTTAAATCCTCAGGAGGATCCGAATGTTGGCTAGCAGCTCTCTTGGCACATGCCCTGTGGTTAGTGTGGCTGAAACTTGAAGTGAGGCTCCCTGAGAGACGGTGGGGCCACACCGCATTTTGCAAAAGCGAATGTGGAGGTTTTCCACCACAGCATCCTACTGGCGCCTCATCAAATTCCCCTTTGGAGGACGTCCCTTCCTTCATTCTGAATGGATGGCATCGGGAGATAATCAGATGTACCTAGTTTTCGAGTTTTCCTTATACCCCTAGTACTTAGAGAATGCAAACTTACGCTTTCTCGCATACCTGTGTGCCGCCAAGGTATCTCAGGATTCATCAGCATTCACTTTTGACAAGTGCTGTTAAGAAGTGGCACACAGCAATGGTGGCAGCATACAGAAGTCCCTTGCAGGTTCAGACCAGACAAAATCCCAGCGTAGACATGGGGAAGTGGGTAAGAAACTCCATCCCACCCCAACCCAAGGAACTTTTGACAACTAATGACTGCTGGGAGGGCCAGAGACAGTTTCTAGAATGGGACTCTCAGTAGGTTAACTAGGATCCAATAGATGGACACACACCAAAGGACATTCGGGGGCACAAATTAGGCTCTATAGGCATATATAATATACAATTATATATTATAATTAATATATAATATTGAAATAATATATATATGAGTAGAATGCGTTAAAATGTGCGTCAGTAAAGGGAGGTATGGATGGGGAGGGGATCTAAATACCACCAAATTTACTGTATGAAAATCTCAAAACTTCAATTAAAAAAGATAGCTCCTGAACATAAGCTAAGGACGGTCAAGGGAAATATTAATGGAAATCAGAGTAGAAACCAGAAATCTCTTCAGGGCAGGTCATATAGTCCTGCTGTGTCCTTAGAATGTGGGCAAATCATTCATTTACTCAACAAATATCTATTGAGTGTTTTTTGCATGCTAGGTGCTCTTTGAAGAGGATTTAGAAAGGAACAAAAACATTAAAATCCCAGCAATCATGAAGCATATCTCCAGATGAGAGAGATAGACCTTGAATAAGGAAATTATGTGAACAGCCAGGTGATTAGACATGCCATGGGGCTGGAGCAGTAGTAGAGTCCTGGCCCAGCATGTGGGATGCCCAGGGTTTCTCTCTCTCTCTCTCTCTCTCTCTCTCTCTCTCTCTCTCTCTCAAACTGATGGACACCCATCTGTAATAGTACTTTCTTCTAAGATGTACTCCTGGGCATCAGAACATGCTACTTTAAGGAAGACATCTACAGCATATATAATATGCCAAGAATTTTGCTTCCTATTCCTTATAAAGAATTTTTTCAAATAAATAAAATTAGAAAAATAATTCAAAGGAGATGAATAGAGAATTCTAAAAAAAAAATCCAATATATGGATTTTAGCGATCCAACCACATGAATTAAAAATAGGATAAGGCACCGGACATGGTAGCGCATGCCTGTAGTCCCAGCACTTGGGAGACAGAGGCAGGCAGATCTCTGTGAGTTCAAGGCCAACCTGGTCTACATAGTGAATTCCAGGACAGCTGGGGCTACAGGGAGATCCTGCTTCAAAAAGAAAAAAAAAACAATAGAATAGAATAAGACAATTATTTTTTATTTATAAATTTAGTAGGAATTAGGAAAATATTCCTATTTTTGGATGTGGTATAATAGTATACTGTGCTGAAGGAAGTGTAATTACAAAGTTTTTGACAGTCTAAAATTAAATATTCAAAATATGCATAATTTTGGACTAGTTATTTCACTTCCATGAGTTTAGAATATCCAAATATGTGTTTAAAAATGTACGAGCTGGAATACCATTACAGTGTCAATTAATGTAGTAGAAAATTTACAAATATCCTACATATCCAACAAAACAATTATGAAAAATACTGTGTGTTATGGTACAGCCATGTTGTGAAGTGCTAGGTAGACACTTTCTAGTAGGAGTGGAACTGTTGGATAATGAGCTGTCTATAATGAGGTTGTAGATGTGGCCAAAGAGTTTTCCAAAGTGGTTATATTAATTTACACTCCTGTCAGGAATCTTTAAGAGCGATACATTTTCTTTTGAGATGAGGTCTCTCTCGCTGTTGCCTAGGTTAGCCTTAAACTCTTAGACTTAAGCATTTTCTTGCCTCAGCCTCCCAAGTAGTTGAGCTCCACCATGCCCAGCCCTAGATCAATATGTTTCTTAAAACAGTATGCATCTAGTCAACTATTTTGAATGTGCTGCTCTATGTTCCAATAACAAAGCAGAGGTGAGAAATATGCAATGTGCTGTACATGTATATATGGGTGCTATACATTGAATCTGGATTATTTCCCAAAGAGCACGGTGTTAAAGTCCCCAGCTTGGCTACTTTTGCAGAGGACCCAGGTTCGATTCCCAGCACCAACATGGCAGCTAACAACCCTCTGTCACTCCAGTTCCAGGGGAATCTGATGCCCTCTTCTGACCTCTGTGGGCATTGCACAACACACATGTACTTACATGCAAGCAATATACTCATATGAATTTTTTTAATATTTTTTAAAATAGCATTGCTAAAAAGATCTATTACATGGAAACCTGTTCGAACTATGTTATTGCATAAAATCAGCCTACTATAAAACAATGAGTAAAGTTCTCTTTACAATATTAATGATGACTTTCTATATAGTAAGATGACAGTTTATTTTTATTCTTTGTGCTTTCCTCTAATTCCCAAATGTTCTTACCATAACCAAGTACCAAGAAGTGGAGCCTCATGGGAGGTTCTTGGTCATTAAAGGCATATCCTGGATGAGGATTATGGGAAGCTGTTTCCTCTCCTCCTCTCCTCTCTACCATCTCTTTCTCTCCCCTCATCTTTCCCACCCCCTGCTTCTCATCTCTTCCTCTCCTCCTCCTCCATTTCTGACCACCATGAAGTAAGCAGTCTTCTCTGCCATGAAGTTTCACAATAATGCATGATGCTGCCACAGGGCCAAAGCAATTAGATAATTGGTAATTGACTGAAAGCCTCTAAACTGTGAGCCAAAATAAACCTTCCCTTTTTTTAAGCTGGTTTATCCTTGGTATTTTTTTACAGTAATAAAAGGTCAAATAATACAATTAGTAGCATCTTAACCTTTTCTAAATAGTTTCTTCCTTTCTTAATTTTATTCATTTGTGTTCTGTTTAGTTGTTATAGACAGCACTTTAAAGCACTGAAACATACAATGGCATAAAATATACATTCTCATTTCAAAAAGAGAGGAACAGGACCATAATGAGGAAATACCAAAACAAGATCTGAACCCAGCAGGGAAAATACAAAATCCTGTAGCTCCATGGTCAGTGTCTTGGATTTTAGTTTCAAAAGATGTAGCTGACTCAGCCCCTACAACCTTGCTCCCTGCAACATGAATCTCTCTCTCTTAGGCTGGTTCCCCTTCCTATATGTTGTTCTCCTTGGTGGATGTCTCATAGCTTCTCCAGTACCTTGGGGTCTCCACCTCAACCCTGGCTGCACTTTCACAACTTCATGCAGTGACCTCTCACAGCCTTGCAGAGACTTCCCTACCACATGTTGCCTGGCCTTAGCAGCTCTCTGAAACCATGGAGGAAGAATCCATGACCCTCTAACTCTTGCATCTTTCATTCCTCCAAAGCCAGTACCATGTGGACAAATGGTCAAGTTTGACTGCCAGAGTGGAATGAACCCTTTCCCCCTTTGACCATTTGTAAATTGAAGCAACTTCTTTCTAGGAACAAGCAATCTGTAGGCTTTTCCCTTACA